GGCTCTTTCTGGAAGGTGGGGAGGGGGTAAGAAAAGGAGAAACCCCCTTACGTGAAAGTCCCTTTCAATCGGCAGCTTCCTCCTGCTGGATTTTGCAGACTGCCGGGGTTTCAGTTTAAATGTTTAAATGTTTAAAATACTAGCCCTTCCTGGTTTCCAAAATGATGGGTGTCTTTGAGAAAGAATTTTCTAAGCCCCCCCCCGCTTCCCCTGATTTGGGAAACGCAGCTCGGTTTGCACTTCAGAAGCAAAATGAAAGGGACAAAAACAGTGGGGAAAATAGTATTTAAACAGACACCCACCCACCCACAAAAAGGGTAAGGAAGATGCTAGGAGACATGAAATTAACCAGGGAGGCTGAGGGGATAAAGATAATCTAATCTAGGAGGGACCCAGTCTAAAATTAAGGAGAACTTTCCTGTTAATAAGAGCAATTAATCCGTGGAATGGCTTTCTTTCAGAAGGGGCTCCCATCCCTGGAGGTCTTCGAGAAGAGACTGGATAGCCATTTGTCTAGAATGGTAGATGGTCTCCTGGCTTGAGCAGGCGGTTGGACTAGAGGACCTCCGAGGTCCCTTCCGACTCTGTTGTGACTTATTTGTAGGAATGATAAAGGCGTCGGTCTCTTTCTTCTCCTTCTTCAGGCACTTCCAGAGATGCAGCTGTCTCACGTAGCCATGGTGCTGGGGGTGAGCGGTAAGTGCTGGTAGGTTCCGGGGTCTCCCACCCTCCTCTTCATCACACACACACACACTGAAAAGAGGAAGAGGGATCTGCTTTCCCTATGGCGGTTCTCAGTCAGGGTGGTCCCAAAAGTGTTTTTTCAAGAAGCAGTTGAAGTTTCTTGGAAGAAATTCCACTTACCTTTTCAAAAAACACCTTGGGGGGGGGCTCTGCTTTCCCTTTCTTTTGTTCCCCAACTTTCTTCTCTTTCTGTTATTTTTTTTTCTCCTTCTCTTTTTTGGGACTTTTGCTCACATTCAGCTCCACCAAGGACGGGCAAATTTCTCCCCTGCCTGCCTTCCCTTTCAAGGCAAAAGCAGAAGCATTTATGCTTTCGGTTTCGTTTGGAAAAGAAATGGGTGAGGTGAGGTCAGACTAACTGGCTGGGGAATTCCAGGAGTTGGAGTCCACCGACCTCTTGAGGACTAGCCTCTTCCCTCTCGTTGCAGTGTTTGCCATCACCACCAGCAGCATCCTCAACTTCAAGCTAATGATCCAGCGGATCACGCAGAAGAATGCGCTCATCTACTTCAACGGCTACGGCTGCTACTGCGGGAAGGGCGGGCGAGGGAAGCCGAAGGACCCCACAGACACGTGAGTGCGGCCGCTTAAGGTGGCGGCTCCCCCTCCCCGCTGACACCAACGCCCGCCCCACCCCCCGCCTCTTTTGAACCCGGCTCCCAGAGGCATGGCCTCCCTTCCTGAAGCACCCAGGCCCCCACCCGCGTGAACCCCTCTGGCTGCGGGACGAGGCGCGAAGGAGAGCAGCAGCCTTCTGCAGAAATAGCTGGTCCTCGACTTATGACCAAATTGAGCCTAACATTTCCCTTGCCAAGCAAGACAGCTGTTAAGCGAGCCTTGCCCCCTTTTATGACCTTCCTTGCCAGAGCTGTTAAGTTGCGCAGTTGTTGTACACAAAATCATGCAATGCAATCGCTGCAGTTGTTGAGCTAGTGACACGGTTGTTAAGTGAGTCTAGCTTCCCCACCGAGGAAGGGAAAAGGGACGCTGCAACCGTCATAAATGTGAGTCAGTTGCCGAGCGTTTTCATCATGTGACAACGGGGATGAAAAAACGGTCACTTTTTTCAGTGCCGTTGTAACAAAACGAATAGTTGTGAGTCAAGAACTGCTGGCACTCGGCTCTTTCTTGCCCAGGGAGCTCAGCTGGGCTGCCTGCTTTGATGGCTCTGGGCCCCGAAAGGACGGGCAGAAGAACCACGAAGAAGACACATTTCAGGCTGGGAAGATTCCCGTCCAATTCAGAGCCGGAAGGAAAAGGACTTTAAAATAGTTTCTGTGCAGGAAGGAAACTTTTTGTGTTGTGTCTTTTCCCTCCCTCCCTCCCGCCTTCCCCCCTCCCTCCCTCTCTCTCCCTCCCTCCCTCTCCCTCCCTCCCTCT